GCAAGGAGGCACTGCAGGGCCTGTAATGCTGCTGAGGGATTTTGAATGTCCTCCTTTTGGTTATCCAGAGGAAACTCCTCCCTTGGGTGTCAGTAGAAGAGAGACTCAATGCTAGATCAGTTTTGAAGCCTCAACCTGCTACCTTCATGCATTTTAGTCACTGGTCTACTATTAGGTGAGTGCTCCAGGTTGGCTGCTGGATGCAACAGTCATTATCTACCTGGGAGTTATCTAACTATAACTAAAAAGGGAAGAACAGGGAAGGGGGTAGGGATAGAAACAGGAGTGGAAATCTTTACTTCTCCCTACATGCCACCTTTGTTATAAACAGATAACTTGCCACTTATACCTTATTAATCCTCCTCTAGCAATTTAGGAATTGTTTTTCCTTCTCAATAATGTAATATTTAGCCATGAAAATATACATTTAAGTCTATCTAGCAAGGTCCTTTATAACCAAACTAGCTGGAGATTCCTATTTCTTTTAAAAAATATTGTTACATTTTACTGTGTGTGTGTGCACAGGAACTGTGTTCATGGAGGTCAGAAGACAAGTTGTGAGAGCTAGTCCCTCCTGCCATCATACGGCATCCAGGGATTGAACTCTGGTTGTTAGACTCGACAGAAATCAACTTTACCCCAGAGCCATCTTATTCACCCAGCTTTTCTTTTCTAGAGTTTCCTATGTTGCTTCATTTACTTAGAGTTTCTCTTTTAAATTTGTTTCTAGATCAGTTTCTCCTAAAGATCTAGACACATATAGAATTCCTGCTAATAATTCTGCAAAACATGGGTTTTCTTTTTTGTTGTTGTTGTTTTTGTTTTTGAGACAGGATTTCCCTGTGTAGTTTTGGTCCCTGTCCTGGACCTCACTCTGTAGACCAGGCTGGCCTCGAACTCACAGAGATTCGCCTGGCTCTCCTCCCGAGTGCTGGGACTAAAGGCATGCACCACCACCACCACCCGGCCAAAACATGGTTTTCTATGCAGTTCCCTTTATATCCATCAATTTTAATTAAATTAGGAAAAGTGTTTACATCGCAGGCTAGATCCTGCCTTATCCCCACTTGACCCATAAAGAGAAATGAAACAATGGTCTGGAGGCATCAGATGCAGAAAGTGATCAACATCTAATCTAGTGTGGCAGCAGAAACTTAAATTTAGGATTCAAAGTCCACCATCGTGTCCCTATCACTACCCAAAGTCCTTAATCTCTCTCTCTTTGGGCCTACTCAGCTACTCAATTTCATTTTCCTCAAGTTCCAGCAAAATTCTTATTCCATGCGCTTTCAGCTGTCTGCTGCTGCTGCATTCTGCACCTACCGCATGAACCACAGACTGCCTTTCCGCCAGACTCCAGCTCCTCCTTCGGAGGCAGGGAGCCATGGGAGGGACACAGTATAAACAGGCCAAGTCCCGGCCCCTCTGGGAGCTTAATCCCAGTGCGTCTAGTGTTGTCTGGGCTTGAAGCCTAGTATGATTTGAACTGCAAAGAGGTACAAAGTTCTGCGAGCCGCCTTGAAGATCTGTGCACCCCTTCATGACGCATAGGTTACCTAAGGAACCCAGAAAGCATCGATATTTTTAAAGAAGTGGGTCTCCCACAAAATTCAAGATTGGTAGTTTCTGTTTTGCTTTGATTCTAAGAAAGGGAATTTTTAATTCTAAGAAAGGGAAATCTTATCTGTAAAAGAATTCGGGGGTGTCCCAAACTGTGTTGACTCTCTAGTTCCATGTGGAATTTTAAGACTAAGGAAACGGGCTCCAGTGGAGCAACTGGTTTTCCCAAGGTCACAAGTGAGCAGCTAGTAGCACGGAAGTACGTCGCGACCCTAGTCCGGGGACAGGTCTCAAGAATGCGCTCCTACGGTAGTGTTTATCCCGCTGCCACGCCAGCTCCCAATCCCCAGACCAGTGGGCAACTTGACACCCGCTTGAGCAGCCGAGCCTGGAACCCGGCTGCCCTCCGCCAACCTCGGGGCACGTGAGAGGGGTGCTGGCCAGGTACCCTCGTCCCAGTCCCCGAACCCCGAGCAGAGTCCGCTGAGCAACAGAACAGGCCAGGCCAGGCCAGGCCAGGCAAGGCCCAGCCCCGCCCCGCCCCGCCCCTCCGCGCCGCAGCCGCACGTGCAGAGCCTCGTGCAATCGCGCCGGCCCCGCCCCCTCGCCCCATTGGCTGCCTTGCGCCTTTCCCTCGCTGCCCCGCCCCTCGCGGTTAGACTCGGCTGCCGCTCCACGTGACCCTTGGGGCTGGGCCGTGGCGCCCAGTCCCGCCTCCCTCCCGGGTGGCTTCTCTGAGGGAAGGAGGGAAAAAGAGGCCACGATGGACTGGGAGGAAACCTGGAGTCACGAAAGTGGTGGCTAAGAGGACACGACTGACCAAAACGAAGCGAGGAGCTCCACAGAAGGCCACGGTGCTCCCGGGCGGGCGAGGCTATGCTCCTCACCTGGCCCCGCACGTGTCCAGCTCGTTTGGCCCCCACAGCCAATCCCGGCTCGAGGAGCTGTGCCCGCCCTCACGCAGAGCGCACCAATCGGAAGCCACGCTCCGGGACGGCCGGCCTGGCCTCATGAATAATGAATGAGACGGGACCCGTCCGCGGGCGGGGCAGGGACGGAGGGAGGCGGGGGTGCGGTGGCGCGTCTGCGCAGTGCTGCCCGTGTCAGCAGCTGCGGCGGGTCGAGCCGCTCCGGCCCATCTCGGGGTGCGGGCGGGGGAGGCGAGACGCAGGAGCGGGGCTTCGGGCACGATGTCCGACGCGGGCGGCGGGAAGAAGCCGCCTGTGGAGCCGCAGGCGGGGCCAGGCCCGGGGCGTGCTGCTGGGGAACGGGGCCTGTCGGGCTCCTTCCCTCTGGTCCTGAAGAAGCTGATGGAGAACCCCCCGCGCGAGACGCGCCTCGGTGAGGGGGGGCGGCTCGCGCGTGTCTGGGGGCGGGGTTTCTGCAAGGGCGGGGCCTTGTGGGGGCGGGGCGGGTCTGGTCAGAGGTCAGGGTGAAGTGGTCCAGCGTAGAAGGGCTATGCGGGTCAGGAGATGACTAGGGCCCTGCTGGACTAGGCCTGGGGTCGACAGAAAAAGACAGGGGGCTGTCTGGAAAGGACAGGTCAATGGAACTTTGCAAGGAAGCCCTCACTTAGATCGGGCTCCAGCGGGGCTGCCTGCATCCAAATCCCTAGGAAGCCGCTTGCCTAAAATGCCGGTTCCTGGGCCTCACACAGTCAGCGGATCCTGGGACCGAAGCTTATATTGTAAGAAGCATCCCACTGCACCACCGTGGGTGCAGGAGCCCACCACCAAAGTTTGAGAAGCACCGATCAGTGTAGCAGATGGTCTTCGTATGTCTTTGGCCCGTCCTGGAGGAGGAGGATTCTTCCTCTCTGGGAGTGGACATTGAGTGGGTCTACCGTGGTGCTTTACTGGAAGTGTGTCCCTGGGCAGCTGCTGGGGTGCAGATCGGGGAGGTGATGTGCAAAGAGGGTCCGCGGTGTCTTTAAGGGGATGAAGGATGGGTAAAGTAGCTCTGGGACGAGGGTTAGAATGCAGCCACTGAGGCCCTTCACCTGGTTAACAATGGCAGGACCGGGCTTCATAGTATTGTCCAGGCCACAAGGGTCCCTGGGGCTTTGTGTGGAAAGCAGGCTGAGCCTGGGTATTTGGCCTGGAACAGCAGTGGGACTGCCACCTATTATTGTACTGTCTTAGGTGCATTGAGGTGTGTTTTCCGTCTGAGACCTTTGAATTTTTAAGAGCTCAGTGTAATTAGGGAATTTGGGAAGGAATAGGCTTTGTGTGGACCTCTTGTATTGACAAATTCATTTCCCTTTCTAAAATGCCATGTCTCTTCTTTTCCTGGGTGTGTTCTGAGGCGGCTGTGCTGATGGTTGTCAGTGTTGGGTTATAAATAGCTTTCGCTCATCAGGTGAGGCTAGGTTCTCTCCTCCTGCTTCAGGACCTCATGTGCACAAACCTTTTGTTTGTTTGAAGATGATGCTTTGCTCCAGATCGGAGAGTAAGACAAACAGCAAGTGCTCACATCTGGCTGCTTAAGATTACCAGTGAGCAGTGGTCCATATAGTGATTTTACCTTACATTGGCACATGCTCGCAAGCATCTTGACACAATCTTATCTTGTTTAGCTTATTATCTACACTCTGCTGATGAGGAAAGTTGAGACTCTTGAGAGGTGCAGATGCTTTCTCAAGGTCACACGGGTGGGCCTTCTGGCTCTCGATTTGGTGCTCTTCTAGTGTATCAAGCTGACAACCACTGGTGTCAACCCTGTGACTTCAGTACTAAACGTGCCAGTCATTTACCTTTTCCAGTTAATCTAAAACTTCACCGTACAAACACTGGATTAACACAGCCTGACTGATTGTCCTGCTTGCTTTGTAATCCCAGCCCTGGAGAGGTAGAGGCAGGGGGACACTGGTTCAAGGTCATCCCTGCTGTACATCGAGTTTAAAGTCAGCCTAGGCTTCATGAGACCCTATCTCAGAAAAGCAGAAAAAAAAATAGTTTTAACTGCTTTGGTCAGGCAAAATGTGGAACTTCCTGTTGCTTGTCCTTCTGTAAGACTGCTTTTTTATCTCCTCCCTTCTCTTACCTCTTTTGATCCCAAGTGACCCCACCCAACTGGTCCAGTCATTTCTGAACAGAGTGTGGAGTCAGAGAGACGAGCAGAGAAGCCATCTGGCCCACCCAGTCCACAGGCTGGGATTTTTGTTGCTTCCCAGTTGTTTTTAAATCAAAGCCTGATTTAAAAAAAAATTAAAAAGGCAGTCGTAGGAATTTAAGTTAAATCAAATTAGAAGCCATGAGCAAGTTCTGTTTGTGAGAACCTCCATCTCACTGAGTCTGGTCATTTTTATTGGACTAATAGGCTGCCTTTTAGCTGTCTGGTCTTGGGGCCCAAGCATGACTGCTTTATCTCCAACATAATAATATTTGATTTCTTTTTTTTTTCACTTCTAAATCCAGAGTTCAAAGTTATCTCCCTCAATTTTGAAAACCCATTATGAACTTGTCATGATCTCATCTCCCTGATTAGCCTCCTTGTCACTTGGATTCTCTCCTCTTGTCACGTTTCTCTAGGCTTTTTTTCCTGATTGCCCTCTCATGGATATCCATATGCATAACCTTTGACTAAGACAGGTGGGATCTGATCTTCACTAATTGATTTAGCTCCGCTTTGAATAGGAACAGTTTTCCTCCTTCAGCTCCACCCTTCTCCATCCTCCTGGGAAATCTGCCTCCACTCTTTCTGCTTATTCAGGGAGAGAGGCCTTCTGAATTGGTTGCTCTGAAGAGAGCTCCGGGGCCTCTCAGTGAGGACACCTGAAGCCAATGTGTCTGAAAACCCAGTACTCTCCAGTCATTATACAGGTTCCCATAGTCACTGTGTGCTTAGCCATTTTGTTGGCCCCTGAAATCTGGAACTAAATCAGACACAGTCCCTACCCTTGGTGGCCTCACAACAATAAAGAATGTGTACTGTGTACGGCATACTCAGTAGTATGTGTTTTCATATGTTACCTCTGAGGGTAACATACGGAAAAGAGGGACTTAATGCTTGACAGTGAAACACATGGAGGCTCACGTCAAATAATGTGGATCAGGTCACATGTCCGCAGGAGCCATTACTAGAGGGAATGGGACAGGGGAGCCCAGGAGTTATTGGCTAGAGGGCCTCAGCCCTTTCCACACTAAGATATCAGGGAAGGTCAGAAACACCACTTCCTTCCATGTAGCCTCTCCTGTAGATGCCTGCCTACAGCCTATTCTGCATTAACTCTGGAACTACCTCAAGCCTTGGAGTATGCAGCTAGCATTCCAGAAAGGCCAGACCCAGAAGAGAATGTGGTGCCACCCCAGAAGGAGACCAGCCTGCCTGGTTCAAGCACCAGGTTATAATGGGAAGACAGGACATGCTCTTGAAACGTGTATGTGGGATGTGGATTGAAACAGGCCTCTGAGAAAGATGGGGCTTCTCTGAGGCTCACTGCCCCGCTTCTGGGATGAGTTAGTTACTCTTGTGTGGTGTCTCATCAGAGATTTTGTTTGCAGATAAGGAAAAGGGGAAGGAAAAACTGGAGGAGGACGAGTCGGCAGCAGCCAGCACCATGGCCGTCTCTGCCTCCCTCATGCCACCCATCTGGGACAAGACCATCCCCTATGATGGCGAGTCTTTCCACCTAGAGTACATGGACCTGGATGAGTTCCTGCTGGAGAATGGCATCCCTGCCAGCCCCACCCACCTGGCCCAGAACCTCCTGCTGCCTGTGGCAGAGCTTGAAGGGAAGGAGTCTGCCAGCTCTTCCACAGCATCTCCGCCGTCCTCCTCTACTGCCGTCTTTCAGCCCTCAGAAACCGTGTCCAGCACAGGTTGGTGACAGGCCTTTGTCATCTAAGGAGCCCACTTCCCACTGAGTTCTGCTGTGTCCACACTCCCTGGGTGCCCTTTCTCTGAAGCAGGTCCCGATGGGCTGCAGATTGGAGAACCCCTTGCCCGTAGTCTCCAGTACTGTCCGTGAGGCTGGGGATAAAGCAGTCGTTAGGCCGGCACCAGTTGGCCTCCCTCTGCAGGGGACTGCATATGCTCAGGATGGTGGAGGGAGCTCCCAGGCCGAAACTCGAAGAAAAGAAATCCCACTCTGTGTTTGATACCGTTCTTTTATGTCAACGGTATTTTGGCCACAGATTCTTGGCAAGTTTAGGCAGTGTTATCAACACCACTGTTGTCATTCTGACTGTGAGTGCTAACATTTACTAGGACTTACTCTGTGCTAGACCCTAACAAAGAGTCATCGAGACGATCTTACGAGACTATTCGGCCTATTATCCCTGCTCTGTAGATGAGGAAACTGAGGCACAGAGAAAGTGAGAACCTTGCCCAAGTCACCTGGCTGATAGGTACTGAAGTAGCACTGAACCCAGGATGCTCTTCTGCATAGGCAGGTACTGCTTAGGCACTAATACAAATACCATTTCCACTGCTCTACAAATTATCTTCAAGACCTAAAGGCATTTTTTACTGTTTTGGTTTGGGTGTTGGGTTGTTTTTTTTTTTTTTGGTTTGTATTTTCATATCTTAACATAAACCCACCAGGAAAGATGTGTCCCCTGTTTGAGAAGCCACAGAGACATGGGGGCACATGTCTCCTGGGACCCACACCATGAAGCTCTCAGGGTGTGTTTTTGTTTAATTTTTTTTTTTTTTTTTTTGGTTTTTCAAGACAGGGTTTCTCTGTGTAGCTTTGCGCCTTTCCTGGAACTCACTTGGTAGTCCAGGCTGGGCTCAAACTCACAGAGATCCGCCTGGCTCTGCTTCCCGAGTGCTGGGATTAAAGGTGTGCGCCACCACCACCCAGCTTTTGTTTAATTTTCAAAAGGGAAATTTTTTCAAATAAAATTTAAAAAGTAAGAAGTTGGAGTGTATATCACAGGTAGAGTATTTTATTATATATCTAAAATATTAAGGTCTTCTTTTTAGATCTGTTATTTTTAATTATGGGAAGCAGATATGTGCACATGAGTGCAGGTGCCTGTGGAGCCTAGAAAAGAACACTTCATCTCTTGGAGCTTGAGTTACAGGATGTTGTATGTTGTCTGACAGGGATGCTGGGAACTGAACTCAGGTCAACTTCCAAAGCAGCACATGGTCTTAGGCATCTCTGTGGCCCCAGTACAAGAGTTCAAAAACAAAACAAATAAAAAAACAAAAACCAAACAAAAACAGAAGGAGCAGATTCAGTGTCATATACCTATAATTCTTGTTACTCAGAGGCTGAGGCAAGAAGATTACAAGTTCAAAGCTAGTCTAGATAACATAGTGAGACTCTGTCTTTAAAAAATAAAAGAAGGGCTAGAGATGTAGCTCAGTGGCAGAGTGCTTGTTTAGCACTCTGGGGTTCTGGACTGGAGAGATGGTTCAGTGGTTAAGAGTGCTGGCTGCTCTTCCAGACGATTCAGGTTCAATTCCCAGCACCCACATGGCAGCTCATAACTGTAACTCCAATCCCAGGGGATCGAACACCCTCTTCTGATCTCTGTGGATGCCAGGTATGAATGTGGTATACAAACAAACTTGCATACTCATAGAATAAAAATTTTAAAGCCTTGGGTTTCTTTCTCAGCGCTGCAAAATAAATTTTAATTCAATAAAAATTAAAGATAGAGGAAATGGGTGGGAAAGATGGCTCAGCCCCTAAGAGCACTTGTCCCGAGTTTGTTTCCCAACACCCCCATTGTGGCTCACAACCATCCATAATACCAATTCCAAGGGGTCCAACAGGCATGTTGGTGTACACACATGCATGCAAGTAGAACATTCATACATACAAAATGAATCTAAAAAAGGAAAAGCAGGGGAGATGATTAGTGGGTAAAAATGCTTGTTTCAGTGTGGACACAGCACAGTGTGGGCGGGTCAGTGCCAGGGAGTCAGATACTGGTCAGCGGGCCAGTCTGCTAGAAATCGGTAAGCTCCAGGTTCAGTGAGAGACCCTGTCTCAAAAGATAAGGTAGAGAGGATCGGTAAGATGGCTCAGCAGAGAATGGAATTTTCTCTGAAGCCTAATCAGGTGCTGGGAATCAAACTTCAGTCCACTGTATGTGTCGAGGTCAGAGGAAAACAGCCCAGGCCCCACATGGTGGAAGGAGAGAACCAACTTGTGTAAATTGTCCTCCGACCTCCACATGTGCAGTGTGACATGCATGCAGGTGCACACACATACAAATAACTAAAAAATTCAATGAAAAAGATGGAGTGATTGAGAAAGATAACCAACATTAACTTCTGGCCTTGACATGGACATTCACACATGTGCACATATATCCACACATACGTACATCACACATTAGAATTTTTAAAAATATTTTACATGTGGAATTGACATGTAAATTGTGTCAATTCAAGATAGGGGAAATGGATTGGAGAGATGGCTTAATCATTAAGAGCACTTACTGTTCATGCAGAGGACCTGAGCTTGGTTCCCAACACCAACATTGTGGCTCTCAATCATCCATAATACCAGTTCCAAGGGATCCAACAGCCATGTATATAGTGTACATAACATGTATGCAAGTAAATCACAGAGATCTGCCTGCCTCTGCCTCCTGAATGCTAGGAATAAAGGCATGTGCCACCATGCCCAGAGTAAGAAAGGATCTTTTTTTTTTAATGTGCATTGGTGCTTTTGCTTACATATGTGTCTCTGTGAAGGTGTTGGAGATCCTGGAGCTGCAGTTACAGACAGTTGTAAGCTGCCATGTGGGTGCTGGGAAGTGACCCTGGGTCCTCTGGAAGAGCAGCCTGTGCTCTTAATCACTGAGCCATCTCTCTAACCTCTAAGGGAGATTTTTAATGAAGTATATATGTAAAAGTGTACAGTTGAGTGGATCCTCACAGAGTGAACCACCCATTTCAACACTGCCCAAATCGGGATACAGAACTATGCTGGTATCCATGAAATGCCTGTGACTCTGGACATTCGTCTTCTCAGAGTTAATCACTATTTCTTTCTATCACCAAAGATTACATTTGCTAATAGCGGAGCAATAGAATTGTCCTCTGTTTGGTTTCTAAATATTATAAGTGGGCTCCAGATATCCAGGATTAATGACAGGATTATCACAACTTTGAGTCAAGCCTCCTTTATAAAATAAGTCCTGGGCCAGCCTGGGCTGCATATTGAGTTCCAGGACAGCCAGCCAGAGTTACACAGAGAGACCCTGTCTCAAAAAAAAAAGAAATCCTCAATCGCTATGGTCAGCAAGATGTCAGTGGGGGTGCTTGCCATCAAGCCTGGATCCCTTGTGGGAAAGAACTGACTTCCCCAAACTGCCCTCTGACCTCCATGTTTGTACAGTGGTGTGTGTGCACACAGGCGCATGCATACACACACATAAATACATACATAAATGTACAGAAAGTTGAGCAGAGCATGCAGTGCAGTGGTCAGGTGTTTCCCTTACACTGGGGAGTCCCAGGTTTAATTCCCAACACAAAACATACATACACATACAACATTCATTGTAAGTTCATTGCATTACTACTCCTATTTATAACTTTATACAGTTTTATAATACATATATAAATTATGTGGGCATTAAAATGCCTTAATATTAATAAAAATAGACTGGTAATGGTGGTGCACACCTTTAATTCTAGCACTTGAGAGGCAAAAACAGGCAGAGCTCTCTGAGTTTGAGGCTAGCCTGGTCTACTGAATGAGTTCTAGGACATCCAGAGCTACATAACGGAGAGACACTGTCTCAAAAACTGAACAAAAATAGTTTCACAGAACATATTTAATGGAAAACTGGGTATATTGGTCTATACCTGTAATCCTAATTCTCAAGAAACTGAGGCAGGAGGATTGCCATGAATTCAGGCCAGCCTGAGCTACATAGCACGGTACAAATGAAAGTGGAAGTCTTTAATTTTTACATTCATTTTTCTAGAGAAGGCATAAGTAATATGTACGCTTTTGTGTCTTGACTTCCTTTATACAGCATTTTTTCTCAATCATCTTGTCCCTGTGGGAGAGGTTTGTTAATTTTCATTGGTAGATAATACTGTGTGAACACACCACAGTTTAGCCATTCTGCAGTTGAAGGACAATGGGGCTCACTATATAGTCTAGCTGGGGTTCTGAACTATGCTGCTATGAACATTTGTGTGCCAGTTTCTTGGTAGATACATGCATGTATTTCTCTTGGACATTTACTTAGGAATAGACTTGATGAGTTGGTGAACATGTAAGTCTTCATTGTCTCCTCCTCTTCCTCTGACAGGGTCTTCTATGTAGTCCTGGCTATCCTGGAACTCACTCTGTAGACTAAGCTGGCCTCAAACTCACAGAGATCCACCTGCCTCTGCCTCCTAAGTGCTGGGATTAAAGGTGTGAGCCACCATACCTAGCATTATTTACTTTATTTTATGAGTATGAATGTTTGCCTGTGTGTATATATGTGTATAGTGTGTATAAAATGCTCACAAGGTCAGAGGAGGGCATTGGATCCCATGGAGCATGAGTTACAGGCAACTGTGAGTTGTCATGTAGATGAGAGGACCTGAACCCAGGTCCTCTACAGGAGCAGTAAGTGTTCTTAACCACTGAGCTCCAGGACTCACAGACACATATAACACCACATACACACACATATATCACATATTTACACACTTTTGTTTGTGTGTATGTGAGAGAGAGAGACAGGGTCTTATGTACATAGCAAGTAATGACCTAGAGCTTCCGACCCTCCTGCCTCCACCTCCCCAGTGCTGGGATTATAGGCTTACACCAACACACTCAACCTAATCCAGTTGAAAACCTAAATTTGATCACGCCATACTTGTGCCATGAACATCCCAGTGATTTCCTCATTTCAAGAGACAAGTCTGTGTCAGCAACATCGGCATTTAGGGCAGATAATTTGGGGGGGATTGTAGGAAGATGATTGGTTTTAATTTTTATATCTTTTGTGTTGTAGGGTGTGTAGCGCCTTCAGGATTCTATACACATGCCAGTTGCCAGTTGGAGTCCTGAAGTAGCCAGATAGTTCCTGTGGGGCAAAATTGTCCCCTGTTAAGAACCATGGCTTTGCAGGGCAGTGGTGGCACACGCCTTTAATCCCAACACTCAGGAGACAGAGGCAGGTGGATCTCTGAGTTCAAGGCCAGCGTCGTCTACAGAGCGAGTTCTAGGACAGCCAGGGCTACACAGAGAAACCCTGTCTCAAAAAAACAAAAAAGAACCATGGCTTTAACCTCTCTGTTACACTCTGTTGTGTCTGTCAGGACGCTACCAGGGATATAGTTTGTATTCAATAATTATCTGTTGGCTGAATATTTGGTGTACTGCTATTGGTGTACTGCTATTGGTAGCATTGAACAGGTAGGACAAGGGTTCAGTTTTCTTTTAACAACTCTTATCTCAACATACAACCTTTGAACTCTAAAATTGACATTAATCCAATGTTTACCTGTAAAGCAGCCATATAGAATAGGAAGAGTAAGGAGCCAGAGTCAGCCAGGCCAAGAGTCACATTTTACTTCAGTTATTTACCTGTGGGGTTCTTTTCTGTGAAATAAGAGTTACCACTCATTTCCTTTCCGTTGTGAGTGAGTGAGTACAGCACCTGCCGTGGGGGCTCCACAGCAGAACCCATGCAGTTCTCAGCCTGTGTCCTCACCCCACTGTTGTCGTGGGGACATCGGCTGGTTTTCATTCTTGGACTACTTGAGACACAGGAGGTTGAGTGGTATAATGATTCAGTGTTTTGCTTACCGTTTCTTGGGGAAACAAAACACTTAGAAAATCCTGTCCATTTTGAGGAACTCTCCTTTGGTGTGGTCTGTTCCTAAGGGGGAAGAATTCATGGGCTGGAGGTAATTGAGTGGTTGATCACATGCTTAGCCCTGGGTTTGATCTATAGCCCACAAAAAAGGGAGGTTGTCTTAGGAACTGAACCACGTGTGCCTGCCTGTCTCCCTTTAGGGCTGGTGATGTGGTTTTCTTAAGTGACAGTGGTCTGTGGGGCCTCCAGGGTATCTGGTGGGGTGACATATTTTCTCTGTCCAGTGAGATGCTTCTAGATCTTTGGCCTCTGTCTTTCAGAATCATCCTTGGAAAAGGAGAGGGAGACCCCAAGTCCCATCGACCCCAACTGTGTGGAGGTTGATGTGAACTTCAATCCTGACCCTGCTGACCTGGTCCTCTCCAGTGTGCCAGGTGGGGAGCTTTTCAACCCTCGGAAGCACAAGTTTGCGGAGGAAGACCTGAAGCCCCAGCCCATGATCAAAAAAGCCAAGAAGGTCTTTGTTCCTGATGAGCAGAAGGTAAAAAAAAAAAAAAAAAAAAAAAAACCAGGCCGGGCGGTGGTGGCGCACGCCTTTAATCCCAGCACTCGGGAGGCAGAGCCAGGCGGATCTCTGTGAGTTCGAGGCCAGCCTGGACTACCAAGTGAGTTCCAGGAAAGGCGCAAAGCTACACAGAGAAACCCTGTCTCGAAAAACCAAAAAAAAAAAACCAAAAAACAAACAAACAAAAAAAAAAAACAAACAAACAAACAAAAAAACCAAAACCAAAACCAAAAACAAAACCTCTATTAAAGGCACAGCAGTGGTTTGAGAGTCTAGGGTAAGCTGTGGCATATCTCAGCAGTGCAACTCAGTGGCATAGCTTGGCAGGACAGTGCTTGCTGGGGACACATGAGGCCCTGAGCTCCATCTCTAGGGAGCTCAAGTGTGGTGGCACACACCTTTATTCCCAGCACTCAGGAGGCAGAGGCCAGAGAGAGACAGAGAAAGAAACTAGAGTAGGGTTCTCCATATAAAAAACTCATGTGTGATTTTTTTATATGAAGAACCCTTCCTATTATGGATACCACAGGAGTTCTGTGCTTGGAGCCACATCAGCAACAATTTGATGGGAAGAAATGGTTAGGTGTGGCTTGGCCTCAATGACTCTTTGGGTTAGTGTTCCACCTCACTGGCATTAGTCCAGCCATCAGGAAGAGAAGTCACTAGACCACAGAAAGCACGGTTGAACAATTTCAAAGGACAAAAGACACCTTGTAGGGCTGGGGTACAGTGGTTCTCCACCTCCCCAACACTGCGACCCTTAAATACAGTTCTTTGTGTGTGGTGATCCCCTACACCATAAAATTATTTCACTACTACTTCATAAATAATTTCCTTCTGTTATGAAACATAATGTAAATATCTGTGTTTTCCCATGGTCCTAGGCAACCCCTGTGAAAAGGTTGTTTGATCCCTTAAAGGGGTTACAACCCACAGGTTGAGAAATGCTGTCTTAGTGGGTTAAGCATTTACCACAAAAAATGTGAGGACCTGCCTGAGTTTGCCACAAAAAAACAAAACCATAAGAACCCAATGGGAAAGCTGTAACAGGTAGTGTGTGTCTGTAATTCCAGTGTTCTTTCCGGGAGAAAGGAGACAGAGGTAAGAGAATTGCTGGACACTCTGGGCCACCTAGCCTGCCAAACACAATGGTAAACAACAAAGAGACCATGTCTCAAGATGGACAGTGAGGACTGACACCCCAAGTTATCCTCTAGCATCCACACATGCACCATGGGGCACGCCCCTTCTCTTCCTCTTCCTGCTCCCTCTCTTTCTTGCATGGTCTTGTAGAGTCAGGTTTGAGCTCAGGGGACTGCACCTATCTTTGGCTTTTGACCACCACTAAGCATGATTTCTGGGAGTTCTAGGCCAACCTTGTCTACATAGTGATTTCTGGGACAGCCAGAACCATATAACAGAGTCTCTGTCTCAGAAAGAGGTATGGGGGGGGGGGATGTTAACCAGTATGCCTAAAGGAGGCAAGGGCAGGGCACCCAGCAGCACACTGCCTGCCTGTCAGGGAGGATGCTTGCTCCCATATCATGCAGCCTGCCCCTCTGAAGACAGGGCAGTGTCCCTGTATAATGGTCCTTTTCTAGGGTCCTGTCTTTAGTTCTTACCACAGCATTGAACTGTGGGGTAGGGAGTAGACCTGGGGGGTAGGAAGGAGAACTAAGGTTCCCTCAGGGGGAGCACCAGACACCCACAGAGGGTACTTTCCCTTAGGATGAAAAGTATTGGACAAGACGCAAGAAGAACAATGTGGCAGCTAAACGCTCCCGGGATGCCAGGCGCTTGAAGGAGAACCAGATCACCATCCGGGCGGCCTTCCTGGAGAAGGAGAACACAGCCCTGCGGACGGAGGTCGCTGAGCTTCGCAAGGAGGTGGGCAAATGCAAGACCATCGTGTCCAAGTATGAGACCAAGTACGGGCCGTTGTAACCTGTGCCCCTTGCCCCGCAGGGCACTGCCTGCACTTCAGACCTCTGCCTGGGGCTTCCTGGACCCCACACTCGTGTGGAGACTTAGGACTCTTCATGGGCACATGGTGGCGTACCTGCTCTAGGAGCGTTCACGTCTCAGCTTCATTATAACATGGCCAGCACACGTGGTGACTTCCCCAGGGGACCAGGCTCCTCTCTGATGGGGAACATGAGCGAATCTATGTAGACGGGTAAATGGCCCAAGTTTCTCTTCTTGGATGTCCCAGCCGAATCAGAAGGGACCTCTGCAGTCCAGATCTCTCTTTACAGAGTGCTCAGGCTTTCCCAGCCTTCCTCAGTCTCCAGTCTGGACCGACAAGGGCTGTCTACAGAATGAGTCATGATGGTTGTCACCCTATCGTTGTCTCAGGTAGCAGGTGCATTTTTACTTGGGGTGTGGCTGTCATGCACCTCACCCTCCCCAAAAGAATCTTTGAGAGAAACATTCATTCCCATCTGTCTCAGAGCCAGGACACGCTGACACTCTGTTAGTGTGTGGAGGATGGTGGGCCATAAGAGTGGGGTCCCTGCATAGCCGGGAATTGGGGTGGGGCTTGGGGCTTTCAGCAGAAGTACATCCTACCATTCTTAGCTCCCGTATCCCTTTTATCTTGTGGCTTTCAGGCCTGAAGCAGCCCTGGGATCAGCTCCCTCTACATCCCACTTGCTATGGAAGAGACATTTACAGGATGGCTGGTCTCTGGGCTCCAATTGCCAGCATCTAAGGCAGCCTTTGTATCTCAGGCCAGTCTGGAGGCTCCTGACTTCCGCTTACCTAGCTTCTGGTTATTTTTTACCCAGGAACCATTCTCAGATCTTAGGTTTAAAAAGAAACCCCATCACCTAAGAAGCTTAAGCTTCCTAGCCCAGGGTACCACTTCTGCATGGTATTTGGGAAACTGGTCTCCAGTCTCCTGTTCTGGGTACCAGAGCAAGGGGCTGTCTCTTGAGACGCTCCATTGGTTCCTTGCTCCGGCTCATTGACATGTCCCAGGCCAGACTCTAGTCTCCCTGAAGACAGAAGAGGGCCTTTAACTTCACAGATCAGAACCCCTCCCCGGAGTGTCAGGGTGCAACCTCATAGGAGTTGTTGCACTTGCCAGAGTCACAGTACAGCTCTCGTAAGATGGCAGGCTCTGGGGACATTTACACTGGCCTGGAGTCCCTCAGTCTTGGTCTCCGGAGTCAGGGGCTGCCCACACAGGTCTGGCCATGGGGTGGAGTGATTCCTGCAGCTGTGGCTGCTTCCTCCTCTGCCTCACGGCTGTACCTTTCTCTTCTGTTGGGCTGAACTTGTGCTCTTACTCCGGCCAGAGGGTTGGCTGAGGGAATCATGGAACCCTCTGCTCATGTGGGTCAGTGAGGGCACCCTTCAGGAGGGTGTGTTTATTTGCTCAGGGTGGGCAGCCTGTGTGAAGGAGACAGAGGTGACGAGGGTGCTTTATTATCCTTAACACTGGCTTTATTTTCAGTGGTGGCTTAGTTTGGGGCCCCAATCTTTTAAGACTTTTCATAATGATGTTCAGACCAGGGCAAACCATCTGCTGGCCATGGACTGCAGCCAGGAGATGCCCTGCCCCTCCTGGGACCTGCACACCACCTCTCGACAAAGGTCCCTGAGGCCATGGGAGGTCTCCCTCCTTCTAGGTCCCTGACTTTGACTTTGTGGTTCTGTAGGAACCATGTGCACACTTGTCACTCTGTTGTAACCACAAAGGGCAGTTGCACCCAGCATGTCAGTGTCCTGCCCCAGCTGCCTGCCTCCCACCCACCCGGCACTCTCTGGGCCGGCTGTTCACCCAGAGGCAGTTCTCGCTTCGTTACTGGTGGACAAGCCTTGAGCTAAAAGGCTCTTCGTTCTCTTTGGCTAGAAAATGTAAGGTTTGTGTTTTCTAAGTTTTAGTTTTTAAGGAATGGATACTTATCTCTGGATGCCATCTGTGTTCTGACCCCAGTGGGTGGGTTGGGGCTTAATGTCTCTCCCTTGGTCCTACCTTCTGCCTTGTGGTACCCTCCTTTCCTTCCAGAAGTCGGGGGGTCTGGCTCCTCCTAAAGTACTTACTGGGAAACCGTGTGGCCACTTGCTTCTTGGAGAAGCCTTTTGAAAGCGGCAGGTACAGGAAGGAGCATGCCTGGAGGTTGATGTCCTAGAGAGAAAGTATTCACAGAGGGGCCGTTCCTCGGTTGGCCTTTGGACCCAAGGCTGTGCAGAAAGAGTTGATCTCTGGGGTTTGTCTTGCCGTGAAAGTCTCCTAACTCCCTCTAGGAGCTGATGGCTGAAGTCTGAGGCTCTGGCACTCAGCTCTTTGACATCTTGTAAAGAGAAGCAGGCTTGAGAAGCCAACTTCTGTTTGGCTCTCCATGGGCTCACCTTGGGATGAGAAGTGCTCTCACTTCCTAAGCGACCTGTTCTCAGCTGTGGGAGCCTCCTTGCAAACTCAGAAAAGACGCATGAATGAACTTGAATGCTGCAGGAGTGTACATACAAGAAATGTCTAGATAAAAGAACTACACATGTTTGGAGAGAGCCAGCCACCCTGTGGAGGACCTGCCTCAGTCACCTTATTCTTGGCCCAAAGACTGAGCTTTGTGGGTCTGACTCCCTTGGTTGGGGATGGTACTAGGCAGTGATGCTCCTTGTCCACACTCCCTGCTGAGAGGGTGCTGTGGCCTGCTTTCCACTCAGGCAGCTCCTCCAGTCCTCCAGCCTGGGGACAGATGTGAAGCTCTCCAGTGGCCCTGAGAGGTATGCTCCCTGTAAGGAGGAGCCGTGGAGCCCCTGGTTTCCAGGGCTAAACCCCACCCACAGCTTCTTTAACATCTGTTAATTAAGTGCAATAAATTTTTCTAGAAAAAGGCAAAGATGATTTCCAGGTAGAGATTGCTGTCTTTTGGTATTGGGATGCCAGAACACCACTTGGTTTTATTTTTCTAAGTGCATGTGATTGGTAGAGTGTGTGGGGCTCTGCATCCTCCCTGGGAGCCACATTCCAGCAGCCCCTCTCCCTACCTTTGTTGGGGGAAAGAGGCCAGGAGAAAACCCCTCTGTCCCAGCTGCAGAGGTAGAAGCAGACAGCAGCCCATTGGCCTTGTGTGTGTGTGTGCCTGTGCGAGTGTGTCACGGCTGCTGGGCCGGAGGGTGTGGTGGGGGGAAGTTGGGAATGTATCCTTTTCAAACAAATTAAATATTTTGAGACGAGAATTTGGCAATGGTCTTTTATGTTATTCCTCTCCTTCCTTTCCTTTCTCTGTGTGTTGGCATGAGAACCAAGCCAGACAAAACTCTCTTTGGAACCCCAGGCAGCACCTGTCAATACCAGTTAGATAGCCTTAGCCGCGTCCCCAACTCCTCTGTGCTAACGTTTCTTCAGCTCTCAAATCAAATTCCTGCCCTGTTTGTCTCGAGAGAGGACACACATTGGAGCAAAGGTAGTTCGAACAGACTGATACAACCAGTAAAAAGACCCGGAACTCAAATGCCTGATGGCAACTGTTGAAAAAAAGATGAACTAAGTTACAAGTTTAGTTCCCAGAACCCATTTCCAGCCTAGAACACCTCTAATTCCAGCTCCAGGGGAGCTATTCTGGCTTCTGTGTGCTCCAGCATGACTGTGTGTGTGTGTGTGTGTGTGTGTGTGTGTGTGTGTGTGTGTACGATGAAATAAATCTTAAAAACTAGCAAAGCTGAGTGTGGTAGTTTGTGTATGTAATCACAACACTCCTGCTGAGATCAGAGACTCAGGAAAACCAGCAGGTGAATTAGCCTGGAGTACACAACCCAGAAACAGGAGAGACTCTGTCTCAATTTGGTGGGAGGTAAGAACTGACTAGTTAACATTGTCTTCGACCCCCACATACATGCTGTAGCATGTGTCCACCTACACTCTCACACACATACACCATAATCATAATAAAAAACTTTAAAGTCCTGTGCCTTTAATCCCATAACTCAGGAGGCAGAGGCAAGTGGATCTCTGTGAGCTCAAGGCTACCCTGTCTATATAGTTCCAGGACAGCCAGGACTACACAGAGGAAACCCTGTCTTGAAAAAAAAAAAAAAGAGAGACAAGCAAGTAAATAAATGTAAATAGATAAAAAGGCTGGAAAGATGAGATAGCTAAATGAATGGCATGCTTCCGGTGCGAGTGGGAGGACCCTAGTACAAGACAGAGTTTCCATAGTGCACACAGCTGCAAATGAGACACCGTCTCAAGATGAGGTGGAAGGTGAGGACCAGCACCCAAGGCTGTCCTCAGACCTGCATGTGTGTGTGTGTCACGGCATGAACATCATGCATACACACATAAAACGGCACACACAAAAGACAGTACATTTCAGGGGGGGAGCTGTTTGTGAATTCCAGCAATTCTGGAAGATCATCAATTAGAGGTTAGCCTGAGCTACACAGCTATGTTCTTCATGGCTACATGGCTATGTTCAGGGCACCATTTGCCTCCCTGTCGTATTCACAACATAAAAGGAAATGTTGGGTCCAGAGTAGAAGTCAGATTTTTCTGTTTTCCCTTTCGCCCAATTTTCTGTGTTCATGAGATTTTTCACAAGCAAAAGAGTTTTGTTTGTTTTGAGTGTGTATGAATGAATGAATGCATGCAGTTGCCTGTGGAAGCCAGAAGAGGGCATCAGACCCCCTACATTGGAGTTACTTTGGTCCTTGGCAAGAGCCAATGGTGCTCATAACCGCTGAGCCATCTCCCTAGCTCTCCAAAGACAAGTCTCATAAACAAGGCTGTAGCCATCTGCAGGGCACCAGCCCTGGCTTTGTTTATTGGTGACTCTGCATTGGCACCTCTGGGTATGCTGCTCAGAGTTACTCAGGAGCTCTCCTCCAGGGCATGAAGTGACTCGGAGTGGGTGTGCCACCCTCAGCAGTGCCCGCAGCAAGTCTCTCTCCCAGCCCGGTGGTGGCACACGCCTTTAATCCCAGCACTCGGGAAGCAGAGGGTCTCTGTAAGTTCAAGGCCAGTCTGGTCTACAGAGTGAGTTCCGGGACAGCCAGCGCTACACAGATGGAAAACAACAAAAAGTTTCCTTTCCATCTCCTCTGCCCCATCCTTCACACCCTCCCCTGCCTCCATTCCTAGCAGTTCCTGCTTCCTCAGCAAGGCCTGTACCCTCCCCCATGTTTATAGCCAAAATTGTTCATACTTGGGAATCCCTGTGGTTTGAGGGACCAGGAACCATTTGTAATTTTATTTGTAAAAGAGAAAGATGTACCTGAAGTTGGGAGAATGGCTGTCCCGGTAGGCTTTTTAAAATAGCCATTCTGGCCAGGAGATGGTGGCACATGCCTTTAATTCTAGCAGCTGGGATACAGAGGCAGGCGGATCTCCAGGTTCAAGGCCAGCCTGGTCTACATAGTGAGTTTCATGACAGAGAAAACCTGTGTCGAAAAACCAAATTTGAAAAGGAAAGAAAGAGCAGCCATTGTGCAAATAAACCCTGAGAAACTCACAACCCCCTGCCTCATCCTCCTGAGTACTGGGATTAATAGGTGTTTTCCTTTTAATATATAACTCTTAGTTTTCTGTGTCTGTATGAGGGTATGTGCACCTGAGTACGGGGTCTGTGGAGATCAGCAGCATTGGAGCCTTTGGAGCTGCAGTTACAGTTGGTTGGTAGCTGCCTCACCTGGGTGCTGGGAAAGGAGCTCAGGACCTCTGCAAGAGCAGTCCGAGCTCTTAACCACTGAGCCATCTCTCCAGCCACCGGGTGTTGACTTTTTAAGAGACAACCTCGTGTTACTACTATATAGCTCAGGCCGGCCACCACCTCCACAGCTAGAGGTTTGTATCATCACATTCAGCCAGCAGCCTTGTTTGTGTTTTTGTTTTCAATTGTGATCCAGGCAGCAGGCACTGGGGTGCCCTGTGAACCTCTGCTTACCTTCCCCCAGTGGGGTGTACTGCAGGTTAACTTTCGGAGGTCCCGGCTAGTAGAGAAAAGGGTCTTCAGACCTTCGTCTGCTGCTCCCACTTACGCTGCCTCACTGTCCTGGTCCACCCTCAAAACGCTCTAGAATGGAATCCGTCTTTAAAGAGGAAGAGAGCTGAGCATTGCATGGTGGCACATACCTTTGATTCCAGCGCTCAGGAAGCAGAGGCAGGAATAGCTGTGAGGCCAGCCTGGTCTACAGAGTGAGCTACAGGACAGCCAGGACTATGTAGAGAGACCCCGTCTCGGAGGAGGAGGAGGAGGAGGAGGAGGAGGAGGAGGAGGAGGAGGAGGAGGAGGAAGAAGAAGAAAGAAGAAACAAATTGGGATAGAGATGTAACTCAGCAGTACAGGGCTTACCGAGTGTGCTTAAGGCAGCGAGTTCAATCCCTGGTGCTGAAATAAACATTACAGAAGAAGAAACTGAGGCTCAGAATTGCCCAAGGTCTCTTCCATACACTATCAGAGCTGAGATTCCAACCTGGGATAAAGAGCCTAAACGCTCAGTGCTTTCTCCATTGTTACCCTCCTATCCAAGAGGCCAGTGTCTGGCCCTGCCGTGCTAAAGGAGACCCCCCCCCCCCATCCCCACCCCGCTCCAACTCCCCTGAGCTAGCAGAAGTCAGCCACAGTGGCCAGATCTGATGTCTCTCCGTGGACTGTCTGAGCCTCCCAGACTGGTGGCAAGAGCCCTGGTGTACCTGGCAGGAGTGGAGAGGAAGACTGTTGTCTACACAAGAAGAGGGCACGACCTGACCCTGTCCCACACCTGCATGAATTGTTCCCCCAAACCTAGGCTCATACACTGAGATGGACTGCGGACCTGACCGGGTCTAGAGCCACCCAGGCATGCCTGTGAGGGATAATCCAGGTTGATTGAAGTGGGAAGACTCAACCTTCGCTGGGAGCAGCACCTTCCCATGGGCTAGGGGCTTGGTCTAACAAGAAAAGTGACGAAGAAGTGGCTGGCAATTTCGGCTAACCCTGACAGCTCAGTGCCATGGATCCACACTGCAGAAGATTTGAGCCACTCCTGAAGGTTGGCCTCTGACCTCCACACACCTGCACTTGATGCCTCCCCAATAAATACATGTAAAAAAATAAACAAGGTCTGCCTATTTATTTATTTTTATTTTTATTTTTTTAGATAGGGACCTGGCTGTCCTGGAACAGTGTAGACCAGGCTAGCCTCAAACCCCCAGAGATCCACCTGCACCACCACACCCACCAAGTTCTGCAAGTTCTGGCTCCTTCACGTTCCCTTATGGGAGGGTGTGAAGAGGGACGTTGGAGCTGAGATTCCAGGTGTAACTCCTCCCTAGCTGCACAAGGGACAGGACATTCACAGTGACGTTGTTTACAAACAGAACTGAGGTCCGCAAAGGAAAGTGATTCCCATGAGAGCAGAGCAGTTCACCCTCAACCTCCTTCTTGATCCTACTGTGCCCACCTCACGGGGCTCCATAACCTCAGGTTCTGGGGCGCACTCTAATAACCCATTCTTACTAGACTAGTGTCTCCTGGGAGTTGCTTGTATGTAAATGTGGGTGGTTAACGAAGTAAGAGGGCACCTATATAGCTGTATAGAAGTCAGCATCCCTGGGGTGGGACTTTTGGTGATAGAGCTGTTTGTTTAATGTATATACCTTTGAGACAAGGTCTCACTATGTAACCCTGGCTGGCCTGTAACTCTGTATGTAGACCAGACCAGCCTTGAACTTAGAGCAATCCACCTGCCTCTACCTCCTGTTAGATCAAAGGAGTGTGCCACCATATCTGGCTCATTCATTTTCTTCCTTAAATTTTCATTACATTTATTTATTCTCTCTGTATATATGAACATGTGTATATGTGCATACCTATACATGCACATCACAGTGCACATGTGGTCAGAAGACCACTTCCTCCACCATGTGGGTCCCAGGGACTGAGCTCAGGCCATTAGGCTTAGTGGTAAGAGCCTTCACCCAACTGAGCCATCTCTCTGCCTCCCCCAATTTTAAAAATATATATATATCTCCGTCTCTGTCTTTCTCTCTCTCTCATCATTTTTTTTATTTTTTTTTTGGTTTTTCGAGACAGGGTTTCTCTGTGTAGCTTTGCGCCTTTCCTGGAACTCACTTGGTAGTCCAGGCTGGCCTCGAACTCACAGAGATCCGCCTGGCTCTGCCTCCCGAGTGCTGGGATTAAAGGCGTGCGCCACCACCGCCCGGCATCATTTTTGTTTTGAGACAGGGTTTTCCTGTTTTGCTCAGGCTGGTCCTGAACCCCTAGACTCAAACAATCCTCCTGCCTCAGTCTCCTAAATAGCAGCTAGGACTATCCGTGCAGGCACCATGTCTTCCCTCCCATTTCCCTTCCCAGAGTCACTGTTGACACCCTGACTTAGATCACAGCCCCATCCCACCCAACAACCCTTCCAGTTCTCAAATCCAGCCATGACCTTACCCTCCCCTGGCCAGCATCCTCCTAATCCCAGATGTACACCCGAAGTCTGTTCTCACAGCAGCCTTGCATCCACCCAGAATGTCCTATGGCTCCCGTTACATCCAGAGCCAAATCTGTGCTCACATCAAAAGGCCCACAGTGGCCAGCCTCCTGTTCCCCAGGCACTACCTGGTACTCAGGTCTAGTTCTTTGAGCGGGTGCCTCCTATGTTACAGCACCTACTTATTGGTGAAATTATTAAGGCCACTCCACGTAGTTAAAAGGGAGGTTTATTTTGTGGGGTAACTCACAAATGAAGGGATAGGTAGGTCGCGCGGGATCTAGGAAAGGTGTAGCTCAGTCCAGCGGTGTTCTCTGGAGAACTCTGCTCGGTCTACCTCCAGCGTCCAGGGTCCAGGAACCAAGAGCGCCCGCCACATCCGAATCTCGGGTCTTCAGGGTCCTCTCTCAGCCCCGCCTTGTAGGCGTGACAGTTACCGAAGCCTCAATGGGGGTTGGAACTTCCAGATCAAAGCTGGAATGGCTACCCACTACACCTACTGCCTGTCTGTGCTGCCTGGAGAGGCTTCTGCACACCTCCTTAGACTCCTGCTTTTCTCTCTGATACCCAGCAGGACCCATGTTGTCGTAGTAACGAGGCCAGCCACCACTAGGTGGCGATTCAGGCACATGCAGGGCAGTGACTGGGGTTTTGCTTCTGGAGTTCTCCTCAGAGGAAAGTCTCCCCAACCTTCCGCCAGATGGAACTGTGGAACACCAGCGGACTCACTCTCGGCACTACCGGCCTTCCGGGGGCTGTAGTGTACACAGTCGAGGGATATCCACAGACCCTGGACCCACTGCCGCAGACTGGGCTTCTAAGCTTTGGGGTTGGGGGGGTTTGGGGGGGCTGGATCCATAGGTTCCAAAGAGTGAAGCTGGGGAAAAAGTGACATTGGAGAACTGAGTTCAAGTTCAGCCAGAGCACAGGGTATGGGATGAGAGAGTCAACCTGGAGCTGCACCCTCTTTCCCTAACCCTCTGGATACAGTTGACAAGCCAGCCCCAAGCCTGGATTTCTCTGGCTGTCAAAAGGAATGATAAATGTGAGCAAGGACTGGAACTCTATGGGGAGCTGAGCTGGCCTTGCTATGTTATAACTGAGGCTGAGGCGCTTTCTCGGGTGAGTCCTGTGTGCAGGCAAGCAGTATGTGGACTTGGGAAGAAGAAGAAGACAAGAAACATGGGGCCTCAACGTCCCGCTGTCAAATAGGACATCTCTGCGGCCTCCCCTGCCCTGAGGCCTGTGACCTGAAATATCCATGTGTCTTCAGTTGTGTGAGTATGATTGTGTGTGTGTGTGTGTGTGTGTGTGTCTGCATGTGTGTGTCAAGGCCTAAGAGTGTGTGCCCACATCCAGGAGCCCTCTCATTTTGGCAGAGGGCCAGGAACCAGGAGACAAGGGACTTTGATCCTCATGCCAGGAGTCCAAGAGCCGAATGACCAGCTCAGTCAGCAGTATGACAGTACCCCCTTAGAGGGGGCAGCACACCCCGCTTCTAATGCCCCACCCCCACCCCGATAGGTGGATAATCTCTCTCCTTCATGCCACAGTTATTCCTTATTTGCATTTACATTCAGATCCTTGCAGGGTTTTCCTCCTAAGTGAGCATAGCATCTGATTCCCAACCCTGACCCCCTAGACATGGAGGCTATGGACCTGCTGGCAGAGGTGGGGGAGTGGGAGGGGATGGAAGAGTTGGGGGAGTAACTATCCTAAGCTCAAAGTCAGGCTAGCTGAATTACTGAGCATTCATTTGACATTTATGTGTAAATAATGATTTGTATATATCTATTTCATTCTCAGAACAACCCTTTAAGGGGTGTGTGTGTGTGTGTGTGTGTGTGTGTGTGCTGGAGACTGGACTCAAAGCCTTTTTTTTTTTTTTTTTTTGGTTTCTCTGTGTAGTTTTGGTACCTGTCCTGGATCTCACTCTATAGACCAGGTTGGCCTCGAACTCACAGAGATCTGGCTCTGCCTCCTAAGTGCTGGGATTAAAGGTGTACGCCGCCGCTGCAGCCGCCACCCATCCCAACCTCCTTTTAAAGGACCTTAATGCCCATTTTACAGATGAGAAAAGAGAATTTGGTGCTAGAGAGATGGCTCAGTGGTTAAAAGCACAAACTGCTCTTGCAGATCTGATTTCGGTCTCAGCATCCATATCAGGCACTTCACAATTGCCTGTAACTCTGGCCAGGGGTGCTCTGACAACTTCTGTGGGCACTTTCATCTCCTGGAGGCCCTGTCAGAGCTGCACTCTCCCTCATCTTCCCCCGGATCTCTGGACATATGAGCCCTGGGGACAAGGACCATGTTGGCGTCCTAAGATTCACGTCCTAAGATTCACGGCTAGACTGTTAAAGATTCCCAGCAGTGTTTATAAGAGGGACGACCATGTTGATACTGGCTGGACACTCCTAGATGTCAGGCCTTATGCTGGGTGCTTTTCAGGCATGTTCCCAAGCCATCTTTCCCAGGGTTCTCCTCAGGAATTACATATGTTAACACCCTTGTACAAGTCAGCAAACAGGCATAGAGAGGTGAGGTAATCTGCCCAAAGCAGTACAGCTGAGAAATGCCATGGACAGGATTCAAACTCGGTCTGTCTAGGTCCAGAGCCTATGTCTCACCCTCTTGCCATTCTAAACTGAACTGTTAGGAGACGGAGAGTCTAGTCAGGCATGGTGGCACACGCCTTTGATCCCAGCACTCTGGAGGCAGAGGCAGGTGGATCTCTGAGTTCGAGGCCAGCCTGGTCTACAAAGAGAGTTCCAGGACAGCCAGAACTGTTGCACAAAGAAACCCTGTCTCAAAATAACAAAAAGAAAGAAAAAAGAAAATCAAACCTAGCTTTGGTGGCTGCTCTAAGACCCAGCCAGGACTTTCAGTTGTATAGGGAGTCCACCCGATGCATGTTAGCCCTGGACATGAGATCATGGACCCCCTGTACTCTCCAGGGTTTAGGGTCCCCCAGAGGTGCAAGCAGTTTCTTCTCAAGAGACTTATCTGTTTACCCTGGACAGGCCTGGATTCTGTCATGACCATAAACACTTAGCACTGGCCTGGGTTCCCCACTGGCCTCTCAAAAGCCTGAAGGTCCACCACATGGACCTGCCTCAACTGAATCTACCAGGCTGAGCTGAATCCCAAGGGGAGACCTTGCCTTGGAGGAGGTGGGAATGGGGGGAGCATTACGGGGGGGGGGCGACTAGGGGGTGGGAGGAGGGAGGACAGGGAAATCCGTGGCTGATACGTAAAATTAAATTAATTATAAAATAAAATAATATATAAAAAATAAAACACAATAAATAAATAAATAAATAATCAAGGGGGAAAAAAAGCCTGAAGGATGCCCCTCCCAGGGAGGGGCGTAAGGACTAATTTGAGATGTGGGAAACAGAACAGGGAGTGTGAGGTGGGGTAAGCTGGGTGGAGGGTAGGGAGCTGGCCAAGGCCTGAGAGTTTAAAAATACATCCTGTCAGCTACAGCCTGGGCTCCCAGGGCCTAGTGACGTCACAGGGGCACAGGATGTCCCTGGCAGAGGCTGGGAATAGCAGAGGGGACATGGCAGGGGGAGGGGCAGAGGGGCTCCTAATCTACTCCTTTTTGTACTGGGGAAGCTATGTCTGCAGAGAGCACCTATCTAGGGACAAAAGGGATCATCAGTCACATTCCTCACAGATTCCATTCTGCATCTGAAAAAATGAGGACCAGGGAGGTTGTTCCTGAGACCCCACTTTGAGAGATTTGGGGGTCTCTGGACACAAGCAGTGCTGGCTTAGTGTTTGTGATCCTGGAAGTGGGCTTGGGAATGGATGGGAGAAGCACTGTTTGGCAGACAGCTCCCGTCCCCCTCGGTGGAGGGCTCTGGGGAGGCCAGGAGAGCAAATGCAAACTTTGGTTTGGTTTGATGGAGCTAGCCTCTGCTCCAGACCCTGCTCCACACTCCCAGCACCAGAAGGGACCAGATAGGGAGTAGTACTGTCTTTTTTTTTTTTTTTTTTGGTTTTTCGAGACAGAGTTTCTCTGTGTAGCTGTGCGCCTTTCCTGGAACTCACTCTGTAGCCCAGGCTGGCCTCGAACTCACAGAGATCCACCTGCCTTTGCCTCCCGAGTGCTGGGATTAAAGGCCTGCGCCACCACCGCCTGGCCAAGTACTATCATTTTATAGATGACCCAAGGTGGACACAGTGGCCTGTTCCAAGCCAGACACCCAAGCACATCATGCCCAGCTAGGATGGATCCAGCCTCCCGAGTTCAGTAGCTATTGAAGGAACCAGCTCCACTGCTAAGATGGAGTTTGGGGTGGGAGGGAAGCTGGGGTTTATCTTTCCCTCTTCCCTTCTTCCCCCTGCTGTGCTCAGAACAAAATTCAGCCCTTCTCCTGGCCAAGGTTCTCCTTGGGGCAGCCTTCTCTCTCTTGAATCTGCAACCTGTAAGCCTCAGCCTCACCCAGGTGCTCCCAGATCCCCAAAGTGATTGCTATTTCTGGCCTCTGAGTGGTTGAACAAGCTGTTCCGGCTGTGTGGATTGACCCCACCTGTCTCTGCCTAGGAACCTTCCAGTGCTGACTGAGCCACCCACTACACCATCAGACAACAATCATGATGATGACTGAGGTTGCTGTCTTTCTCTTTGTGGGCCAGTATGTTCGCAATGATTGGACTTTTTGTTTTGTTTTGTTTTTTTTTATTTTTCGAGACAGTTTCTCTGTATAACCCTGGCTGTCCTGGAACTCACTCTGTAGACCAGGCTGGCTTTGGAACTCACAGAGAACCACCAGCCTTTGCCTTCCAAGTGCTGGAATTAAAGGTGTGTGCACTATCACCGCCCAACCTGTTCCGCTGTGTAGCCCTGGCTGGCCTCGAACTCACAGAAATCTGCCTGCCTCTGCCTCTCGCCACCACCGCCGGGCTTGGGCCTTCATTTTTATTCATCTCTCCAATCCCAGTGTCTAACAAATGCCTGGATAAGGGAATTAAATTGGGTCTTGAGTCTGTCCCATTCTAGAATGGACTTTGTCCACCACGTCTCATGTCCTATCCAAACCCTGTAAAATGGGGAAGTGTGAGCAAGGTCCACGCTTTAGGGTTTATAGAGGCTGGGGTTGGCTGTATCTCTTAAGGGCATTAAGAGGATGGGGGACAAAGGGTGGGGACACTTGAGGTCAAGTTTGGCTGTTCCTACTTGGTTGGCCCCATCTATCCTCCAGGGAGGCCATCAAGTCCTGTCTGCCCCGACTTTTCACCCAGCTCAAGAAATCAATGCAGGCCTCAGTCCCTGTCTGCCCCTCCTACTTACCCTGCTTGGTTCCAAACCTTAGAAACCCTGGGGAGGGGCCTGGCACTGGGGAGGTAGAGGCAGACCGACCCCTCTGAGTTTAGAAGCCAGCCAGGGATACACAGTGACTCTGTTGGAAAGTGAAGCAAAATCGAATCAAATCCTGGGGATGCAGAGGTTCAATTATTGCTAAGGTGACCCCTGCTTAAGTGCAGGGGGCCCTGATGTGGAAACCTGGATCCAGCAATGTTGAGCAGCCTCCCAGTGACTGTAGCCCTGCTTTAGGGGCGCCTCGCTGGGGCAACAGCGAAGTGGAGGACGATGTCCTGATCAGGAGAGGTAATGTAAAAGGCAATCCGCAGCGGCCTTGTGCCCCTTCGTCCTTTCTCAGGAGTGAGGGGCTGTACCAGCCCCAGCACCTGCAGAATCAGTTCTGGGCAGCGGGGCTCCGCGTAAACATCGCCAAGGCGGATGGCGAAGTCAGCGCCAGTCGGCTGCAGGAACTGAACCGCCGCCCCGACAGCGGGGGCGAGTGGGGCTCCAGCAAGCAGGTACTCCTGGCTCACCAGCTCCTCCTCCTTCCCCGCATCCCAACTCTCCTTCTCCCTCCCTGCATCCCGGCTCACTCCTCCCTCCCCAGGCCCGGGACACGGAGGCCAGCACGGCGGGCGCCGTGGGGGCCGTGCAGTCACGCGCAGGGAACAGCAGGCTATTCATAGGAGGACGTCCCCGCCTGCCCGGCCCTCGCCTCGCCTTACATAACCTTCCTTTCCTTCTTCCTCCTGTGCGCTCTGCGGGGCGGGGCAGTGGGGGGGGGGCAGCCTCGTGGAGCCCAGCCTCCCCTTACTGCCCACAGGGAAACTGAGGGCTAGCTCAAGCTGGGCACTCGCACTGCTTACGGGCATGGCTGCCTATGTCGGCAAAGATGGGTGAACAGCCCAGCCCCACCTGGGACCGTGGCTTCTCTTGCTCTGGGGGAGGTCTCCTGCTCAGGAAGTTTTCCTTCCACAGCCACCCCACCTGGTCAGGGAAGCATGCAGGTGCCTGGGCCTTGCCTCTTCTCGGTGACCTTGGGCCAGTTGTGCCTCTGAGTCTCAATATACCTACCTACAAAATGGCCTTTCCTTCTGACATAGTAAGAAAAAAAAAAAAAGCCTTGTCACCTGGTAAATATAGCCAGTGACTGGGGAGCTTACTTAATGGTCCCTGATGCTCTCTCAGAGAACCTGGCATAGAACCCCGCCCTGAGTACCTGGGGCAGTCAACTCCTTGTGGACCTTGGTCTCTGCTCAGGGAGCCTGTGGTCCTACTTGTCTCTTGGCTGGGCCACAGGTGGAGCTGGAGTCCGTGTCCAGTGCCAGTATGACCACCAGGAACGGGACACCTAATAGTCATTGCAGCCCCTCCTCCCACATTCTCACCTTAGTGGACCACTATCTGTGCCAAGTTGTGTGTCTGAACTGTGTGTGTGTGTGTGTGTGTGTGTGTGTGTGTGTGTGTGTGTGTGTGTGTGTGTGTGTGCTTACTACAACTCTGGCTGGCCTGGTATTTACAACAAAGACCAGGCCTATCTGTAAGTGTCAAAGATCCACCTGCCCCAGCCTCCCAGTTGCTGGGAGGATGAAAGGCTGTCTGGGACTCACCATGCAGCCCAGACTGGCCCAGAAGGGAAGCAGTCCCAGACGGCTCCACACGGCTCCACCGCTTGTCTTAAGCATCTAATAAGAGTAATTTTTTCTAGGATGGGGAGACATCTGAGCCTTCTCTGGCAGCTTTGACTCATTTGCAAAGTGGAGACAGTCACCTTCTCCTTCTCTCTCCGAAGCCTGGTTTACCGGCAGGATGAGAACCATTGTACCTGCTCCACTTAATAGCCTGGAATGTGAGCCAGGGCTTTCGGCTCATCTTACCTTCAGTGACAAAGGGGAGGGGCAGCATCGGTGTCCTTCTATAGTTGAGGAAACGGAAGAATGAAGGAACTCCATGGGACATCCTGGTTTGCATTTTCTTACCATAGCCTCTGGGTTGTAGCCCAGCACTAGAGAAGGAAAATAGAAGTTTCAGGGGAGCTGGAGAGGTGGCCCAGCAGTTCCAAGTGCTTGGTACTCTTACAGAGGACCCAAGTTCCATTCCCAGAGCCCATATCAGACAGCTCACAACTTGCATATAACCCTTTTCTGGCCTCTGCACACACATGCATATATCCACATGTACACACACAGTTTAACACCTAAAAAAAAAAAAATCTTAAAAAAAAAAAAAAAAAAAAAGGCTGGGGAAACCGGCAGTCATTCTCTTGACGAGCTGTAACTTTGTAAGTGACACTGCCGTGTTCAGGACACGGCTCCAGCTCCACGTGTGGCAACACCACACTCTATGTCCTTCAGTCAATGTTTGCTGAATGAGTGAAGGAATGCCTGTAACCCTCTGCCCCTGAGTACTTGGCTCATGTGCCTGGGACTCTGCCAACAATGTCCATAATGAGGCCAGGCATCTGGGGTCATCTGTTGTGTTCCAAGGAGCCCCTTAGCCCTTCTCTGATCCAGCCCCGGCTTTGAGAACCCTCTAGGGGCCACTCAGCTGGCCTTTACTCTTGGCCCGCAGGGGTAGCTAGTAGGGAGGCACCCTTCCCTCTACTGACTCCTGTGAGTCCCTCCCGTATACAATGAGAGGGAAGAGCCGACTATGGCGTTTTCAACAACGCACATCAAGTTCCTGCCACACAGGAGCCTTTAAGAAACAAAGGCCATTACTGCTTATTAAGGTGGTCACAATAGTGAAGCTTATTCCATTAAGTGCCTTCTGGGTGAGAGTCCCCATCTCAAGGCCTGCTATGTACTCACCCCTGAAGAAGAAGATGCCACTTTTCAGCTGAAGAGCTCTATTTCAGAGCCAGGTGTGGTGGCGCACACCTTTAAACCCAGCTCTCCCGAGGCAGAGGCTCTCAGATCTCTGTGACTTCAAGGCCAGCCGAGGCTGCAGAGTGAGACCCTGTCTCAAAACTTAAAAACAAAAGGGCGGAGTTTTAGAGGGGCTGTCACTTAATCATTTCGTAAGGCTAGTAAGGAAGTCAGGTGAGCAATCCAGGTCAGCATTTTGGGGGTTCTGCTTTTTTTTTTTTTTTCTTTTTCCAGACAGGGTTTCTCTGTGAAACAGTCCTGGCTGTCCTGGAACTCACTCTGTAGACCAGGCTGGCCTGTAACTCCAGAGATCCACCTGTCCCGGCCTCCCGAGTGCTGAAACTAAAGGCGTGCACCACCACCGACCGACCGACCGACCGGCTGGGGGTTCTGCTCTTAAAGAATTTTGCTCAAATGGTAGCAGTCAGTTATATAGGGAAACAGAGATACCAGGTAGAGAGGGATTGCTGAGCTCCCCGCAGGGTGTCAAGCTCCTTCCTCCAAAGAGCTGGCCCTCTCCTTGGCCAAGGCGGCAGGACAGGTTGTAAGAACAAGCCCTTTGCTCAGGCTGGCTGCCCCCCACCCAGTCGGCCAGCTGCCCATACCCTCTGCCAGCCACTGTTCCCTGTCAGTCAGCCAAGCTGTGAAGCAGTCTAGGACATTGTGTCCAGAGAGAGGTCCCAGCAGGCTCCCTACCTCCGAGACCCATGGTGCTGAACTGGCCCGCCCCTCTGGGCCTTGGGCCAACCTGGCCTTGTCCCCAGCCCTGACATGAACAGGAGGCCAGTGCTGCCCTCCCAGAGACTGAGGTTCAGCTAGTCCTCTGCCTACCTTGCTTCCAGCCTTTCCTAAGAGGGGTGCTCTGCTCATGCCCTTTGCCTAGAGTCCAACTTCTGACAAGTCCCATGGGACAGGCTCCCTGGGTACCTCTCAGGACAAGCCGACTGGACGCAGAGATGCCTGTTCTTCTGCCTTACAATTTTTTTTCTCCTTTGCCTGTATCAATATGCCAGCCAGCTGATTCAAGGTGAGAGGCCCTCTTAGACAGAGACCCAACTGTGTATGTGGGGCCCTGTGCCCTGTGAGATGGGTGCGGTCTTGTCTCTCCACTGAAAGATAAGAAAGTTGAATGCAGAGAGAGGCCAGCTTTATGCAAAGCCACACAGCATAAACTGACGCCACAGTGTCAAGTAGGATGGGGGCTGAGGGACATGGCCCTCAGGACATTTGTTACCCATACTTACATTTGTAGCTTCATTATTTTTTTTGTTTGTTTGTTTGGGAGACATCATCTCATGTAATCCAGGCTGGCCTCAAACTCAGCATGTAGCCTAGGGGGGCCTTGAACTGCCGTCCTCTTGCTACCGCTTCCTAAGTGAGGGATTGCAGGGGTGTCCCACCAAGTCTGGCTTTAATTGGACACATTTTGACAATACCCATGAATCAATCAATCCATGACCACCCACAACCAAAGTAAAAGATCTGTGTGTTAACCATCAGGGTTTCCTGGTCCCTTTTAATGGTCCCTTCATGGCTGTCCCTGCCCCATCCCCAGGCATCCACTAATCTGCTGCTTTTCGATTAGTTGACATTTTCTGTCATTTTCTCTGAGTGGAACCAAACAGTATGCATTCTTCCCTCTTCAGTCCGGCTGACATTCTGCATTTTTATTTTGAGATTCATCCATGTTGTCCCATGTCATCAGCGGTTCGATATTTTTTAATCACAGAATAATAGTCCCTAGTACGGATATACTACACAGTCTGTTCAACCACGCAAGGACAGTAAGATGTTTCCACTTTGGAGACCTATTTATCTATCTATCTATCTATCTATTTATTTTTGTTGTTGTTGTTTTTTGGTTTTTCGAGACAGGGTTTCTCTGTGTAGTTTTGGTGCCTGTCCTGGATCTCGCTCTGTAGACCAGGCAGGCCTTGAACTCACAGAGATCTGCCTGGCTCTGCCTCCCAAGTGCTGGGATTAAAGGCATGAGCCACCACACCTGGCATACTGCTTCTTATGGGAAATACACAGCCATGAAATAGTTAGATCATTTGGTGAACACATGATGGTAACAAAGATCGCCTCTGTGTTTTATTTGTTTGCTTGTTTCCTTGAGAAAGGGTCTCAGTGTATAGTCCTGGCTGGCCTGGAACTGGCCATGTAGACCAGGCTAGCCTTGAACTTTTCACATTCCTGCTTCTGACTCCTTAGAGCTGCAGGAGGCATGTGTGTGTGCCACCACACCTGACTTTACTGTTTTCTTAATTTTTTTTTAAAGTTACGTCTATTGATTTACATTGTGTGGGGTAGGGCAGGGGTACGTGCACTACAGCACACTTGTGGAGTCAAGAATGACTTGCTGGGTTCTTTCCTTCTACCATGTAGGTCCCAGGGCTCAAAATTGTCAGGCTGGTGGCAGGTGCCATTACTTGGGCTTTCTTTTAAAGTTTCACATTTCTACATTTGTGTACTCTGACTGGCCCTGGTGGCTTCATGGAGTCATCCACACTTGCTATGCTCGTGACTTTGCCTTCTCTAACCTTGAGTCTTTCTTTTTCTTTTGATTTTTCAAGACAGGGTTTCTCCGGGAGGCAGAGGCAGGCGGATCTCTGTGAGTTCGAGGCCAGCCTGGGCTACAGAGTGAGTTCCAGGAAAGGTGCAAAGCTACACAGAGAAACCCTGTCTCGAAAAAAGCAAAAACAAAAAATAAAAATAAAAGAGTTTCTCTGTGTAGCCCTGGCTGTCCTGGAACCTGTAGACCAGGCTGGCCTTGAACTTAGAGATCTGCCTGCCTCTGCTTCCCCAGTGCTGGGATTAAAGGCATGCGCCACCACCATTACCTTGAGTTTTGGTCTTCCTCTGGTTTCACCACCAACCCCTCGGGGTCCCCTCAATACCAAGTCCAAGGGATCTCACCAGTTCCACTGTGGTACCTGGCACATGAGCTGGCCCTAATTCCTCCCCTACTGGCTTTTATCCACCCTTCCACCCTCTGAAAAGCCTGCCAGGGCCGGGCAGAAGTGTTGGAGCCCATTTGGGTTTCCTCGTGGCTTTACCCAGCAGGTCCGCATAGAGAGGATGATTAGACCACGGGCCTGAGTGCAGGTGTCTGAGATGGCATGCATTTGACTGTGCTGCGGGGGGAGGAGGTCTTTTGCTCCACCCCTTGGCATTTCTTTAAATACCCTAGGGCAGAGACAGTCAAGGCCCGATGGATTAGGATCCAGGCCCTCTCGAGGCTATCCTGTATTTTTAATCTGTTTCTCCCCTCACTATCCTTCTATTTAATATTTCCTGCTGCTCCTACTCAAGAGTACTCTAGGGAAAATATGGGGGTGAAGGATGGGCCCCCACACGGAAGCCTCCTCTCTGCACTCATTGCTCCCTAAGCTTTCTTCTGGTGTGGATCTCAGGGTTTTGAAGGAAGGATGATCAGGCTTTGTTCCCATCCTCCTCCTCCACCTCCAGAATGCCCCATCACACCTAAGGACAGGGCCTGGGCTTCTCCTCAGCAAGCTCAAAGCCTACCGTAGCAAGGAGAGTTCTGGAAAGGTTTGTCAGTTGAATATGTGAAAGCAGTGGTGGCTCACGCCTTTAATCCCAGCACTCGGGAGGCAGAGGCTTGCGGATCTCTGTGAGTTCGAGGCCAGCCTGGGCTATAGAGTGAGTTCCAGGACAGGCTCCAAAGCTACACAGAGAAACCTTGTCTCGAAAAAACAAAAAAACAAAAAAACAAACAAAAAAAAAAAAAAAAGAAAAGAAAAAGAAAAATTCAGTTATAAAAGAAGCTACCTGTAGTAAGGCATGATGGTGCAGGCCTTTAATCCCAGCACTCAGGAGGCAGAGCCAGGCAGATCTCTGTGAATTTGAGGACATTCTGGTCTCCATAACAAATTCCAAGACCTCTAAGGCTATATATACCTTGTCTAAAAAGAAAGTAGTAGCTCCCACCCCACCCCCCCACCCCCACCCCCAGACACGGTCTCATGTAAGCAAGGTTGGCTTCAAACTCCTGCATAGTCAAGGATGATCTTAAACTCCAGCTCCCAAGTACTGGGGTTAGAGGTTGGCACCACTTCACCCAGTTTATCGGTGCTAGGGACGGAACCCAGGACTTCATGAATGCTAGGCAAGCACTCTACCAGTTGAGTTACATCTCCACATTTCTTTGTAGTAAGGAGAACCTCACTTCAAGAGACAGGAATTTTGTCTTCTATTTATCCTGTGTTTTCCTCCTGCCTAAAAAGTGTCAGCCCTAGGGTTGGGGATTTAGCTCAGTGGTAAAGCGCTTGCCTAGCAAGCGCAAGGCCCTGGGTTCGGTCCTCAGCTCCGGAAAAATAACAACAACAAAAAGTCAGCCCTTATGGAGGCTCTGTGTTTTTTGTTAGGCATACTAGGTTAGGCAAGTGCTCTACCACTGAACTACATTCCTGGCTCCATGTTGAATGTTGAATGTTGTGTGTGGAATAGAGTGGATTGGGTCAGAGCAGAGCTAGAAGAACCCAGAGATCCAGGCTGCAGGCCTGTCCTCCTTTCCAGCCTTCCCTAGTTCTACTGTAGCCCTGGAGTAGCTTGGTGAGGTCTTGTGTGTGGAGGGTGTCTTAGCTGTCCCGTGGCCCCGCCTCGGAACTTGCCCATCATGTCACCCTTTCTACCCAGGAATGGTGTCATAGGTGCCTCACTAGAGCAGGGAACGGCGCTAGCCAGGAGCAGCTCAAATGGCCTAGCTGAAGAGGGGCTTGGGCCTACTGTTGCTTATTGTACCAATGGGAATGGATGTCAAGAGAATTTCAAGGTCACACAGTGAATTGGCAGCTTTGAGGACCTAGAACCTACTTCTCTTGCCGGCAGTGAAGCTCCCTAAGTTCCAAGTCCGATTGCCTAGGGGCTTGGAGACTTTCTGGCTGGGCCCTGACAAGACTTGGCCAGACTGATCAGGTTCATGGCAAGGAGGAGGGGGTGCACCTCTCTATGTTGATACGCTCACAGGGAGAAGTAGAGGACACCGAGTGTCATCCTGTGGCCTAAGGACACTGACTCAGGCAGGCCTTGACAAGGGAGCAGGGTTCACTGTGAGTCACCCCTATTTCTCTACCTGCCTCTCCAGGGAGAAATTCCCAGGAGGTTTCAGGGACACGCGTCAAAGGCTCCTCCTATCCTGAGGCAAGAGGCCCGGTCCCAGGAAAAGAGTAGAGCTCACCACACTTCACCTCTTGCTGAGACAAGCAGCCTCCCGTCTAGGCAAAGGGCAAGGCAGAAGCAACTTCTGCTCTGAGAAGTTTCCTTTTCCACCCAGCTTGGGTTTCGGCCTGTTTGCTGATGTAGGGAGGTGTAACCGGACTGGGCTGGCCGGAGCATTTGAAGATGGACAATAAAGCCATGACGAAAATGATACTTGCCTTGTTTGATCCAGACCAGCCAGTGTGCTCAGCATTTTCCCACCCATCATTTCATCTTCACGAGGAGGTGCAATTAGTAGCCCCATCTTAAGAGAGGAGGGAATGAAGCGGAGAAGCAGCGGAGTGGTCTGTTCAAGGGTTCCCAGCTGGCAAGTGGCAGGGTGGGCCTGGAACCTGTCTGGAGGGGCAGGGTTTACTCTTCCGGACAGGCTCCCTAGAGCCTTGCCTTTCTCTTCTGTAGCTAACTTGGACTGTCTTCACTGTTTCCAGGAAGCCTTCTGTGGTCTGTGTTCTCCCAGAGCCTTGTGCTTGTATGCCTTGACACTGCTCTGCTACCTGGAGTCCCAGAATCCCATGCATAAATGAGTCCTTTTGGGAAGGACCCTTTGAGTCTACCAGAACGTTTATTTTTTATTTTTATTTTTTATAAATAGGCTTGGTAGCAAGTGACCTTACCCTCTGAGTCATCTCTCCCCTGGCCCCAGAAAACTCTTTCTACCCCTTTGTTGCAGGAAGGGCCCCAGGCAGCCCCCCTCAATCCTCTAGATCTCCTCCCTCACACCTCTTCAGAGCCACTGAGCTGTTTGGGACTAAATGGAGGTCTGAATGTGTGAGGATGCATTGCCCAGACCCTTCATGTCCAAGTATGTGTTGGGAAGTTGAGCAGATTGTGGTACCTGCTGAGTCAGGACCTGTGTTTACAGTAGTATAAATAGGAGTGAATGGCTGAGATGCCATCTCAACCCTGTCCTGGGCCCCCTGTTGACAGGCAACCTGGACATGGGGCATGGAGATAGACTGGCCTGTCAGGACCTGTGTGAATGGCTCTGTGTGGACCAAGACCTCCCTTGCTCACAGGCTCTGTGGAAAGAAAATGGCCAACATAGAGGGCTTGACATCAGGGCTGCTGGGACCTTGGCCAGAAGTTGGATGTTTGGCTTCAGTTTTCTTTTCTTTTTGGTTTTTCCAGACAGGGTTTCTTTCTCTGTGTAGCCCTGGCTGTCCTGAACTTCGTAGACCAGGCTGGTCATAAACTCTGCCTCTCAAGTGCTGGGATTAAAGGAATGTACCCCCCCCCCCCAAGCTGGCTTTGAGTTTTCTAGCTATAGTTCATGTTTGGGTGGGGACGGCTGTACTGGCTTGTCTACAAAGTGTATCTATACAGAACTTACCCACCTTGCCCCAAGTTTTTCCTCCCTGGTACTCAGTTATAGTCCTTATCTATGAGATGCCACACCTGTAAAGGCAGGCGCCATGGTTCCTCCTTCACAGGGCCTGACACTACCCACCCCTGATGAACAGAGTCAGACAGGACTCAAAACCCCAGCTGACCATTTACTAATTTTGTGAATTTAGGGAAGCAACCTAACTTGCAACCCACTTCTAAACTCTAAAATAGATAAATGGCTTGACCACTGGGCTGCCATGAGGATGAAATGATTCAGTGACAACCTTCAGACACCCTGCCCAGGTGCTCCAGGCAGTAGTAATGTGCCCTAGGTTAGGAAAGGAAAACCATGTCCCAGGACAAGGAAGTGGCTGCCTTTGAGCCCCTGGCTTAGGCAAGCACCCCAGCTGGAGGTGGGGCTGAGGGGTGGCGGCACTGACTGCCAACCAAGTGCTAGGCTGATGAAGAGAATCTGTTTTGAAAGGCCCACACTACAGGGGAGGGGGGTATAAATACCAGATCCAAGCAGGGTGGGGGGCATTCTTATCTTCTTCCTCCAAGGAACAGGTGGCTCCGAAACAATCCTCCCAGCCCCTGGCTGGACCCCACACAAGCTGAGGGACAGAGGAGGGAGGGGTGGGAGGTGGCAGCTCCTAACCCAAGAGAAGAGTGTGAAGTATGGAAAAGGACTGTGGTAGTGGGCACACCAGAGGGAGATGAGGTCAACTGTGTCTACCCAGAGGTGCGTCACTGTGAGGGTGACTAACAGTCTCCTGAAGCCCACAGCAGTGGTCATCTCTCTATTCCAAAGGGACCCCAGAAACAAAACAAGCCAAGAGTAAGCAGGAGGCTATTATATATCATGCTTTTAATACAAACTTAAAAAAATCTGGAACAATATAAACTGTACAGATTTGATCAATCTTTGTTTTGAAACTAAATCTCTAAACACACCAATGTCTCATTCCAAAATATTGCACAACGTTCTGAATACAAAATGTCTTGATTGCATTCTTCCTTCACTAGAGAAAAAAAGGTCATCGCCCTGCTCCCGGGCTCCTCTCTATGGCTGCCTCAATGCCTATCCCCACCCCTAGGGAGAGATGCTCCAGCATCAAGAAAAGGACAGCACTCTGGACTGACAGCTGACATTCTTTTTTTTTTTTTTTGGTTTTTCAAGACAGGGTTTCTCTGTGTACTTTTGGTGCCTGTCCTGGATCTTGCTCTGGAGTCCAGGCTGGCCTCGAACTCAGAGATCCGCCTGCCTCTGCCTCCCGAGTGCTGGGATTAAAGGCGTGCGCCACCACCGCCCGGCTGGACAGCTGATATTCTTAACAAGATAATCCACCTTCAGTTTTGCTCCTGGGTGAGAGGGATAGAGAGGATGGGGAAAGGGAGGAAAAGGTTTTATGTTCCTATTTTTTAAAGTTTGTTTTTCCTGAAAAAATATTGGTTTCTCTCCTTTTTAAGAAAAAATCTTGAAAAGAAAAAAAATTACGTTTCTTACATTAGAAATATACATATATTATATATACCTCTTACATTTTACAAATGTAGCAAATTATTCAATACAAACGGACACCAAAAAATGTAAAAAATAAAAAAAAAGTTTTTCTACGAAACCAGGTAAATTAGTGCAGAGTTGTTTTTTTCTTAAAAAAAAAAATAAAATTGAAGCAAAAATGCCTAGATTTGCGATGAGACACTGAACTGGGCCAAGAGCCCAGTGCAGAAGTCATGTTCCTGAACACTCATTTTTCTTCCTACTTCCAAAGACACAGGGGCTGGGCTCCAATCTCCCCATGTGTGGAAACAAGCTGGCTTGGGTGCAGGTGGTACCAGTGTGCATGTGGAGGAGGGGCTGGAAACGGGGGTAAGGCAACACCCAGCTTGTCCCAGAGAGGTTCTTTACCCAGGACAGTCACCTGTGTGGGCGCTGAGGATGAAGGAACAGGAGGCCCAGAATGGGCAGGCTGGAGAAGACTGGGGAACAGATGGTGCTGGGCTGAGAACTCAGGGCCTTGCCCTGCTGGGGGAGGTAGAGCTAGTGCCCAATGCAAGGAGAGGGGGTTGGCAGTGTCTGTCTGGGCTGAACTCACTG